AAGTCAGCACAACTGCTCCAGCCAGTCAGCCAACCGCATGCGTAAATGTTTGTGGCATTATTCCACAAAGTTGAGAGCTTGGCCCCTCAACGTTTCCTAACTGCCTGGATGTCTTTAACCTCTACCCGTGGTTGGTTTTTTTGTCACTGTTAATGCTTTGAAATAATTTAATGCAAAACTGAACAAACCTTTCTGAATTTTTCATTTCCAGAGGTGGAGCAGGACCTCTTGCTTGGCCAAGAGGATCAAATGAAGAACCTGCAAAATTAAGACAGTACTGAAAATTGTAAAATAAAATCTCCCTCTGGCAGCTGGTTATTTCTACAAACCATACCTCTCATAGCTGCCTTAGTGTAACCTGCAGCATGCACTGCTGTCATTGGTCGAGCAACCCCATCCTTAAATAAAAGGAAGACATATTAAAATAATCTTCCTAAAAAATAGATTGTGGACAGTATGGACATCAGTTACATATTACAAAACCTTTAAATACAAAAAGCAGTTGTTACCACCTCAGTAAGCTCTATATTTTTAAAAGATGTTTTTATTTCTCAAATATTATACATCATATAATATGGGTTTGTTCAGCCTTAAGAAAAGAAGGCTTAGGGGAGACCTTATCACCATGTTCCAGTATTTAATGAGTGTGTACAAAGAAGATGGAGACCCCCTTTTTACAAGGGGTCACATGGAAAAGATGAGGGATACTGGGTACAAGTTACTGCTGGGGAGATTCTGACTGGACACAGGAGGAAAATTTTTCACAATGAGAACGATCGGCCATTGGAATCATCTCCCCAGGGAAGTGCTGGATTCCCCAACATTGGACACTTTCAAGATTCATCTGGACAGGGTGCTGGGTCGTTTTGTCTAGACTGTGCTTTTGCCAAGAAAGGTTGGACCAGATGATCCTTGAGGTCCCTTCCAACCTGGTATTCTATGATCCTGTGATAACTGTCTACAAAGTAGAGAAGCAAACACTATCGGGAAACTCTAACTGACACAAAGGAACACGTATTACTTTGTGTAAATTTTATATGTATTCAGAACACTTAATTTCAAACACCTTTTATTTTTAGAAAATTCTGAAGAACCGTTGGCCTTGAGATCTGTAATGTACTCTAGCTTACTGTCACGCTGTTTCAGAACTCAGTTGCTTTTTAATTTTTTATTGACAATAAAGAGAATCCTATGGGAGTATGGATCAGAATGTTTTACTTATCTAAATCAAGAGAGGCACAAACTACAGGGTTTTTTGTGTTTGTGACTTATTAAGCAACATTATGCCTCCCAACACAAGAATGTCTGACCCCACCCATGCCACCTAATTAAACTTTCCTGTCAGAACAGAGAGTGCACTAATAATGGTCCTGACCAGACTCACCTGGAGCCTCCAGCCACACACCCTACCCGTGGGTCCAGGTGCTTTATTTAAGCTCAACCGTGGTCCCTCAGACCCTACCTGAGCTTCGTTGGAGGACTACTTATTTCTACAGCTACGCCTGGCTATCGAGTCCCTTGATCCAGATTTCAACCTGTGGACTGATTTTAGCCTTGCCTTCTCACTATGGACCTGCCCAGTCATCACTGGTCCTAACTCTGGCCTCTGCGCTCCTTTTTTACTTGATCTTGACCTGCCTCATCACCATGCTATTGCCTTGCGTTCTGGGCTTTTGGTTGGACATGGCCACCATTTCTGGGTGGATCCTACTTGCCTTGCTCAGGTATTGTGGGACCGGGTCCCGGCTAGTAAGGCCCCTGTACTGCTGGCCATGCGATTTCCTGCTAGGCTCCTGGATTGCCTTCCCTTGGGGATCAGCCCTACTCTTGATGCTCCTTGATAATTCCTGTTTCCCACCTGGGTGGACACGAAAAAATATAGTGGCTACAGATATATTTAACATTAAATCCACACATTTAAGCACGGTGGTGGGAAAGACATTGGTAAATTGCAGCAGATTCTTATTACAGTCTAAGTATGTAAGAAAAACATGAAAACCAGAAACTACCTCTTTCCTATATCAATGAAAAACTATTCATTGCATGTCAGTAAGTGTTAAAAAGCACTACACTGGTGTTGCTTCCAACCCTGTGCTCAAATAAAATACTCATCACTACCTTCATGCTTTGACAGTAGTATTTTCAAAAAAGGACAAATTAAAACAGACTAATAATTTCTCCTATTTCAATGAACTTTTAAACACTTGTATCAAACCCAACACTTATCAGAAAACTTCACTGTTCCAAATCAATACAAAATGTAAATATTGAAACTTTTACCTGTATAGCTCCTGTCATTGGCCTTCCCATAGATGAAGTTAAAGTTGCCTTTGACTACAAAAATAAGTAAATCGTTTGACAGCAGCATTCACAAAGCATTAGAATCCTGTTAAGGCTGTGCACAATCTTCTCAACATTGAGCTTTAAGTCGATTTAACTCTCACATAAGTTCATAGCAAAATTCCCATTTATGTTACTCATATGCGATATACCACCAGTGCCTGGCAGACTTAAAGATGTTGAACACTTCCCGTTAGCCCAAATTCACAATACTGGCTTTTATGTATTTGGATATTTCTGTCAGACCTTTTAAAAAATATTACATAGAAACTGATCTGAGGCAGCAGTACTTTCCATTATTCAATTATTGAAATTGCTGCCTTTAAACTGAACACGTAATTTACACAAAATACTTCGGAAAGATTCTGAGTACAGCTGATAAGAGATTAATACAGGTGCAGATTTTAAGTCATACTTTCATAAAGATTTATATTACAACAAACACGGCTATACTTTGAAACTGCCAGTGGATATCTTTTCCATTAGCTGACATGATACACACTGTCCTGTAGTAGTGTTAAAAATATGAAGAAACAAATGTGAAATATTTAGTAGCAAGTGCTAAAGGTTTAGCTAAAGCTAAAGGTTGCTACAATATGCAAACAGACAAAAATAAAGGGCTTCAGGCCATGAAAAATTATTCCCCTAATTTCCACTAATAGTACTAATGTTAGTACTATTTTACCCACTATCCACCACACATTATGGTCATTTTTCGTTTTTGTTTGTTTGTTGTTTTTTTGGTTTTGGGGTTGTTTTTTTTTGTGTGTGGTTTTTTTTTTTTTTTTTTCTGCTAAGGCTGAATTACATTAACAAGGGCTGTAGCGTAGGAGAAGCAAATCTGCAGAGTGAAGCAGGTAGGACTGTGGCCTGGACAATGCTTTGGAGGTTTCCAGCTCTACTAATGCAGAGAAACATTTCAGTTGTTACTATCCTTAGGAGGTGCCTTTTTGTGAGCTCCTTTAACAAGGCAGGTTATCCTGTCACAGCATGCTGCTACACTAAACATCTGCAAACACAACTGCCAAGAAAAGGCAGTCTCAGAAGGAGTATATCCAGAGCAGGCAACAGAAGGTTCAGAGTAAAGGTTGTATTTCAAAGATTTATAAAGAATTTTGGTGTTACTTGTTACCCAGCTAACTTGCATAAGAGATCTAAAGCAATGTGATATCCCTTCTTTATTTGTCATAAAACTTGCAGGATCTTTACACTGAAGAGCACTCTCTTTTCAAATTTCACTGCGACAGGCTGAGGTTGAAAATTTATTGGGATAAGGGGACAGTGGATGTCTGTCATCAGCGCATAACTTCTGTTTCCATAGAAAAACAGGTTAAAATGTTAGTTATTTATGAGTTACAATGGGCTAACTATACCAAAGAATATGACCAACTTTTCTGATTAAACTAGAGGTGATTTGAAAGCCTGTATTTTTTAAGACTTAATTTCACCCAAGCACAAATAACTACCCATCTAGTTCCCCCTGCAAGAAAATCAGGTTAATACCTTGAAATCTACTGCCTTGTGCAGTACGGAAGTTGATTTGCAGAACGGTTTGGGAGAGCAAGAAAAAAAAAAATCCCTAACCATGCCTTGACCAAGTGTGGAGTTGTGAATTAATTAAAATTAATGAATACATGTAGTTCACTGGAAGGAAATACTTAGATAAAAAGACTGCACTTTGTACAAGGGATTAAATGGTAAATGTATTTTTTGGTAAATACCTCTTTTTCATTAAGAATACAACAGAACAAAAACGTACCCCAAACCCAGTAGCTAACGGTCTTGAAGCTGATGTACCAGGAACTTTGGCTGTCACCTGGGTGGAAAAAAAAAACCACCTAACCAAAAAAACCCCCACCAATTAACAAACATATGTGTTAATTATCAGTCTTTCTATATAGTTTCTACAGTAAATTCATAGAAATAATGCTTCAATTGTTATAGGAAGGATTCTTATTGTAGAGCCTGATTATTCTGGCAAAGAAGTTAAGATTAATCAGGCAGTTCCAGCCCTTCTTCAGACATATAGTACGTACATTTAAAGTGCAGGTGCCAACTTTATATTTAGTTTTGAAAACTGATACAAGAGTAAGTCACAGCTAAATTAAAGTAAGAAAATTAATATAAATTACATGAACATGGAGAAAAAAATTATCAGAACACACAGTTTTCTAAATCCTACTGTCTAATATGTATCTTAACCTTCTATGTCAGTGAGTATTTCTATGTGCAGAATATTAAACAAAGTCCTTTCAGAATATATAATTTTGCTCTTTAACATGGTTTTATTTCATTTTATCAAACAAGAATACACATTTCCAATTGAAATTCCTTGTTTGCTCTAGCTTAACTCCAGAACTTAATAGAACTTCTGCTCTGCTAATTTTTTACTTATTTTCCACATAAATAACTAAAGTCTGTACCTTCATGTTAGCAGCAGACATAAAAAGATAAGAGATTCCCAAGGTACATTTGTGCCAGTGCCAAAATCAGAGCTAGGGCTTTAGAGAAAGTCTACACTATTGCAATGTATTTTAAAAGGTACTTACAGGGGGTCTTCTACCATGACTTGTTCTTGCTGCCTGCTGAAAAGCTACATCATTTTCTAAATCCTAGAAAAGATAAAATAAAAATATCAACTCTTTTAAAACCACAACCAAAGCCACAACTCCAGAACCTTATGACTACTGAGAACGGGTAAAAAAACCCAATTCTTATTTCAAAAATACTTGTCTTGAAGACAACTGAATGACAGGTTTTATTGACATAAATAATAATTATTTCATTTGGTCTCTCTTTTTTGGTATTTTAGATTAGGAAATGTAAAAATTCATTATTCTCTGAAAAACAAAAACACACTGAGGAAGGAGAGCTTTAGTGACAAAATTTAACATGAAATTTTGTTTCTGTCTGAAAGCTTCCTACTAGCACTATTGCTAATTTTTAACATTAATGCCTGTCATGCCAATACATTAAGCTATCTCATGTCTCTGAGGTCACCCTGCAACTCCCATGAATCTGGCACTGGGATTTCACACAAGATGCCAAGCCTTGCACACTGGCTCTGCTTTGAGCAGAGTAATGGGTCTGGACCAAAAAACACACCCTCACCCCCCACTTCCCCCACGTTGTTCCAATTCCACTACGCCAGCAGTTACCAGTGGTCTGCAGGGTTACCGTCATCATCCCAGATGTTCCTCTACCGATTGCAGAGACCTGCAGGACTCCATTCTACTGTTATGTCCATCCGCAGCACAGTAAGAGATCAATGACCTATTGACCAGTAAGTAGCCTCTTTTGTCAGAAAACTTGCCACTGCAAACTGTCTGGGTAACACCACAGTGAATGTGCCTGAATGTGAATATGGCCTTCAAATAACTAGGCTTTTATACTTCATAAATTCTAACCATTAAAGCAGATTAGATCTGCTATGAGATGCACACAAGTATTTTGCTGGAATAGAACACTATAAAAAAAAATAACTATTCAAAAAGATCCTGGTGAAACTTTATTTCTTGCTAAACAATTTAACTTCAAAGCAAGAGTGCACTTGTGCATTACTGCATCCACATGTTCTTATCTTGTACCTAGAATTTAAAATCCTACTTATGGGAAAGGCGGGAAACAGCAAATGCTTTTACCTCTGTGTCAAACGTGGGATTATAATCATTGTAGCCAGAATAAAGATCATCTTCATCAGCCTCAGGAGCCAGATGCACATTTTGCATCATTTTTCTGTGAAATATTTAACATGCCAAATATTATTTCAGTGACTTTATAGAAATCTTTAAAAATGTAAACAGTAATAAGGTTTACAAGTTCAAAAAAGCTCCAACTTCATTTTAGTTTTTAATTGCTGCCTTTGAAATTAAAAGCAAGCTATGATTAGTCATAAACACTAGGGTTCACTTATAGACAATATTAAATGGCACCATTTCACACAATTCTGTTTTGTTAGGTACTGACACTACTGTCACGAAAATTGTTCTAAAGATATTTATCATTAAAACCAAATGATCATAACATGCAACTGTATTAATTTCAGAATGGTATCTTTACATCCTCAGATAATTTGGATTTTATATAATTTTCTCATATTCTAAAGTTTGCCTTTTTTTTTATTACATCAAACCACAGCAGTTAGTCTAACGAGCTCTCTTCTAGCTTCAAATGTTCCTTTCTCCACCTGTTACCTTACATCCACACAGCCGCAGCTACTCTCTCTATGCAACATTCTTCCCATAATTCCCCCATTTCAATTCAAGTCGTTTTGAACAAGGAGAATTAAAGCAGCCCGGGTCCCAGCGTCTTTCTTCACAAATACTTTAGTGTCCGCTACGCCCGCATTCGCCCTGCGGCCTTGCCCTCACTGAGGAGGTCTCTCTCTGCCTGGTACATGTCTTCACAAGAAACTTACGAAGGTAACGTCTGATGTCAGCTGTAACACGAAACACTCGCACTTCATCACACCGGCCTCAGCCGGGCCGAACCGCTGCGCACCC